TAAGGACAGATCTGCAATAAGGACAGATCTGCAATTACTTAAAAGTATGAATTCACTCATCAACGCGATCTTCTCCACCACAACCTGCCTGGAGATAAGTCGTCGCTGGTATCAGGATACAAGTTCTTTCTGTTCTCAAGACCGAGATCGCTCGATACTGTGAGGTGGTTTCATCTGAGCCTGTTGCGGCCTCATCTGTAATTCAATCACCCGCCGCCGCCGTCGGAATGACGCACTGAGTCAGCGACCCACGCGTGATTACATGCTTTCGGTACTCGATAGTTTCGGTGTTCGTACTATATGAGGCTATCCAAGGGACGAATGGCGGACATTATGTGGACATTATGTTCACCATACTGTACGTACTGCAGCTTGGGGCAAGAGTGAAGTGGGGATTTTTGTATTTTACACGCGCATTCTATCGCTTGTCTGTGCCACTCCAAATCGCAGTAGCTGCGTGGTACAGCTGCTTAAACTGAGACTTTTTGCGAGGCGTGGGAAAGACATGAACGATTCAATAGCTATATAATGATTTTGAGCGGATGACACCGACGCAGGAGCGATGTGGGGACGAGTTCAATACGCTGGTCATGAGTTGGCTAAACACCTTTCAGAGCAAGATGGCCTGCCACTAGAGAAGGACACTTTCATTGTTCCGTGAAAATCATTGAATGTTGGAATGGATTAGCGGAATCCGCTCTTCACGCTTCGTTACGAGTACTGTACTTCGTGCGACGTGGTGGTGAGTGTAAGCAGAGCAGAAAGGAAATGGGAGACGCTCTGAACGAAGCGACCGCCAACGACAGGATATCGGAAGAGGATGGCGACAAGATCCCGAGGAAGGCATGAAAAACGCATAATAAACAAAAGGACATAAAGTCCAAGAAACGCAAAGCATTTCAGCTTAGGTGGAACCACACTCGGAGAAGGTTGCTAAGTGTGTTAATGCGGTGAATGTTTGCAGGCATGATGCTGCTGATGAAGATAAAACAGCAAAGATGCAGGAGAGAAACGCACATCTGGTGATGATACTAGCTGATGCAACATATTGTATAGGCAGGTAAATCGGATATACCCATTTATTTAGGCAAAACGAAGAGACCTCGTATGCACAATATTTTATTTATCTTTTTTACACGCACGATTTGTTACGCTCTTCACTGCAGCAACATGAACGCGTTCAAGTCTTCAGCTCACTTTATACCTTGTTATAACACAACTGGAACCTGCCATACTCACCCCAGGGAATAACGGGCGAATTATTCCTCGGCACACCTGAGGCTGGTTGGGAATGCCTTGCGGCAGCCTTTTCAACTGATTTACGCTTGGCACGCAGACTCATTTCTCCCACGTACGGAATTTCTTCTGCTGTGAATGTGCTCGGCCCTGTAGTCACCAGGATATCACCTCTGACAGCCAGCCGCCCATTTCTGTGGAACTCGATACATGAGCGCACATGGTAGGACGGAGTGCCTTCTTCCAGTGACCAGCGGAAGATCTCGAGGAAAATGACCAGTTGGCCCGGTGCCTCGACGCGCATTTCACCAAAGTAATCTCCTTGAGATCCTTCTCCGGCATACGACGAGATCCCGTTCGGAAACATACGAAACACGCGAGCTTTGCCGTCTAGCACCAGGTGCATACAATCCAAACGTCCAGCCAAACTTTGTGGCGCTCGGACACGAACAGACCTGCTTTCAATGTCAATCGCTAGCTCAAATCGGACGACTTGTGACATAAGCTCGACCAATGAGAACAGCGACACATCCGGCACTCTCGGATCAGCATTGATCTTGCGACCAGGAGAAGAACTAACCTCGTTGACATCCCACTGGACATCGTCCATGTCCAAGACCCATTGTCCATTCCAGCTGCGCTCGACAGCATTGCGAGGAGGGAAAGTCATCTTAAAAGTGGCGTTACGCTCGATAGATTGGGAAGGGCTGGCCGAGCTCATAGTGCTAATATACGTTTCTCGCATCTGAGCAACAAACATGTTCCATCCAGCGAAACTTTGGCCACTTAGGATGTGCCGCACTAACGGTCGACGGCTGTGGAAACATTCATGCGAATACACCGCTGCAATCACTTGTTCCGCCACGTTGGACAGGCTACGCAGTATAGAGGCCGCAACTACCTCAGTGTTTAGACGCTTCTCTAGTTCATGCAGAAACTGAATAAAACATGAACGGATCGCCTTCTTGTCCAATACAAGGGCGGCGTTGAGACAGAAAAACTCTCGTACCCAGCCAAGCGTCTCCCCAGAGAACAACCACAGCACCGTCTGGGAGGCCACTCGAAGTAAAGTCTCCAGCTCTAGCGGGAATATAGCGCCTCCAGCAGCTCGTAAATTCTCCTCTATGCGAGCGTGCTGAAGCAGTAGCCGCGAGAAACAATCCATCTTATTGGCTTTCTTCGCGTTCGACGTCGACGTGGTAACAGTAAGCATTTTGAGCTTGATCGAGTCCACAAGTTCACCCACAAACGGCGCATAAAGTCTTACAGGAGCCCAGCGGACGAAAGCGAAAACTAGAGCCATATTCTTGGATACCGCCACGGCGGGCGCATTGACGTGCTCCCAGAACAATTTATCTTCGAGCGGGTGTATCATTTCCTGACCACTTGGCCTTGTCGAAGGAATCCGACGCTGACGCTTGGCATCATCATCATCATCATACGAATTACCTCTTCGCGAGGAAATTCTCCCACTCCACGCTGTATTAATAACGCCATGTTCGCCAACGATTGGCATCACGCTCGCGTTATGCGCCGGCGAGTAAACACTTTGCTGGAGCATCTGATTCGACATGCCCATAGCCCGGAGAGTGCTGGGCGACGCACCTCCGACTTGAAGTCCAAGTGGCTCTCCCTTCACTTGTTGCAGAGTCTGTCCCTTGGCCAATTGCGCTGCAGCATGTGCTTGTGCAGCTTGCAATTGATCCAGTGGTGCTCGTCGGTACGAAATGACTGTAAACTCAGGCGACGATACCACATGCAGCACGCGATACAGCTGAGTGAACGCCTCTCGACTTGAAATGGTCGTGAAATTGTCGTCCATGTCCACGGCGACGCGTTCCATCACATACGCTTTCAACGTATGTTTCATGAGTCTCTGCGCCTTGTTAGCACCGCTTTCCCAGTCGTAGTACCATCTCGGAAACGCTTTACTATTCAGGTGAAAGACTAAAGGTTTCTCCTCATCGGACTCAGCCTCCGAGCCTCGGATCGTGACCACCAACCCCGAAGGGCGGTCCAACACCCCGGCGATCCATTGACCGTCAAGATTGGATTCCGTCTGCACGCCCTGCTGGATCTTGTCCACCTCGACGCATTCTCCGGGGCGGAGACTCACATCGTTAACGGCTTCGAATCGGGCAAAGACTGCCAGCACCTCACTGGGTGGAGGCTCATGTGGGGCAGTTCCAGCCGGACGTTCAGCTAGCTGAACTCTCACGCTCAATGACGATCCGCAATAACTTCGGTCGATATGCTCGGGACAGCAGTGCGGGAAACAGCGCAGGATCTTGAGCCCCTTGGTGCGATTGCTCCTGTTACAAGTTGAAGTGATCAAATTAAGCAAAAAAGATAATATAGGGATAGGTGAGAATCGCGTTTGGACAGCGCAATGCGATTTCAAGACCGCACCTCTTGTACTCAGAGTGGAAGAGTTGCTCATGGGCGCACTCAAGGCGGAAGTAGCTGCAGGCGGTCACACGTAGCGGTAGTGATGGCCCCAACATGTCGCCCTAGTGTCCTGTCCTGCTATTGGTCTCTCGGCGTGTCTGGCTACTGAGGAAGACGAAGGGTCCCTTGAGGTTGCCAGATAGGAGCCGCGTTGCGTGAACAAGGGATTGGAAGACGAGCGTAGACAAAACACGATTTGAATGACGGATTGCGTACCGTACACTTTTGAAAAAGGATTTTGACGAGTATATATTGTACGAGTTTATCAGAAATAATTGCAGCAGTTCGATGTTCTACGAATGTCAGGGCTAATAAGAAGCCAGAGGTTATATTATCTAACTTTGCTTGCTTCAATCAAGCGACATTTTTTTTTCGGACTTGACCAAATTCAGAAACATACTCGCAATGCTGGCCACATTTCAAATCTGGTTGTGAGTCTCGGTTCTTCCCACGTACAAGTGGTATCTTCTGGGCTGCAGCGAACTGAATCCGTCGGGACCCTGTGAGATGGCACCGCAGAGGACGGGACGCTGTCATCAAAACTGGAGGCGTTGGTTAAACATCGTACAGTATTTCGGCATTCGCGTTGGATACAAAGGTTAATCATGCAAGACCAATTTTGCTGAGACTAAACGAGGGCAAATTAGCTCCACAGACACACTATTTAAACACTACAGGTAACAATCATTGTACCAGCCCCTGTGAAAATAAGCTAAATCGCTATAGCTTACCTGGTCGAGAAAGACTGTTGTTTATCTCATCTTTCAGGACAATACTAGTATAAAGGCGAAATTTGCCACGACGTACATTTGCTTTATCAACTAGTCTGTCAGTACTTTACAAACTAAAATAATACTTTACTCATTTTCCCGCAGTTTTACTGCTATAAAAAAAAGCTAAATGAATTTGCGTGACTACTGAAAACTGCAAACGATACTGCATGCTCAGCGCCAGAAACAGGTTTATGCATATAACATCGTGTAATATGTACTTATAGTAAAAAATTCAGCTAGAATTAACGCGTGAACAGCACCAAAACATTAATTCTGAGAGTGGCTATTTGCTTGTATCGCCGACAAACTGATCTGTATGGAAGACAAATGCTCTAGTTGCCCGTGTGCTACTCTTAATTTATATATTATAGCACTTTTCAAGTATGTTCTCGGACACTTCTTACTTTATATCGATTTGGCCTGGATTTAACTTAACTATTTCTCCTCAAACCATATGCCTTCTACGAAAGGATGGACGATGGCATGCGAGCGCTTTTACGCAACGACGAGTGATATTACAACATCCAGGAAAACTGGTGTATCGGCCTGGAATATAATGCCTGCAAGCAGAACTTATCGGAAGCGTGTACATGTGCATTATTCGCGACAATTGAGATTATATATTCTAAATTGAATGCCCCATTCAGCTCCGCCGACTTTAAAGTTTTCGCGCTACAACACACCGGAATTGATGCGTTTAAAAAGCTTACTCGCGTTCTGACCAAAACTGCAGTTTTGGCATTTTAGGTATATTGTCTGGCTGTGTATATAGTTGTATCTTACAGGTGTAATGCATTTATCCATTGCCAATGTACATTCTGTGAGGACGGTAATATTATCATAAATGGTCCGTCATTAACACGAACGCTGCGACAATCCTGAGACTGGTAGCGATGAGAGATTTTAATTGAAAGCATTTACCATCAAGATGTAGTACACTTTCTGATTAAATTTAGCGCCTAATTACTGAAACATACAGTAGCCTCCCTCGTTAGCCGCGCCCTCCTTCTCTACCTTCTCGTATCCTATTGTAATTGTTAAATTTGTATTCTAATCCTTATATATGTTACTATAATGTTCAACAAGCCCCTCGCACTACATGATCTTAAGTAAATAAACAAGCCGGGTAGTTTCTAATGCCCCAGTCTACATAGTATCTAGATTTTAAATACGGCCGAATTACTCAACGCGAGTCCATGAGCCGATAAGCATGTCGTTCGATTTTATGCTTCAGTTGGTTGGTATTTGCAGTGTACACACTTACTACGAGAAAATTCGCCTGGAAACACGATGCATTCTACTCCTGCTGAGCACTAAATTAGTTTGTTTCCAACTTTGCGTACACCACTGTGGAATGCATTGCGTGCTGCTGATGTATCCATTGAGGCTGCGTCTACAATGGCGACATGGATTACCATATCGGGTCATCAAACGGGGTCGCTGTGCCCCACTACGGGGCGCCGATGGGTTGTATCAGACAATTTCTATACGAGGCACGCATTCGCTCAGGCACTATTCAAATTTACCGATGGTGAAATACACTTGCTTGGAATTGCGTGAATCAATCTAGTGGATAAATGGAACAAGCCGGCCGTGAAAGGTCCTATTGAACGGGTGAGTGCTAGTGTTCGTGGCAGCTGGGGGTTGGTAGCGGCGTAAATCCGGAAATGGGTTGAAAGGAAACGCAAAAGGCTCTCCAAAGCAGTCAGCGTGGGTTGTAAGGCGAATAGTATTCCATACAAGTCACCGATTGTTCAGGCAGAGAAAGCACGATTGGTCATGTATAAGACCATAAAGGCTGTAATTTTACTGCAACGATTGAAGGCGACGCTGTCATCGTTGTCACTCCCGTCAACTTCAACCCCAACGATAATTGCAGCATACAATCTGTATATGAACGCGGTTGATCGTGTTGATCAACCGTACTGTACAGATCCCATTCGGCGTCGGAAGAAGCAGTTGAGCATGACTACGATGACATGGCTGATAGATTTCGCAGTTATAAACGCACACTCGCTGTTAAATGCCATATGTCCTGCGGCAGGAAAAAGCCTTGGGCTGCGCGACTATAATCGCCGAATAGCAGTTGTATTGACCAGCAATGAGTGGCAAAACAAAAGCAGACGTGAATTGTGTCAAATAAATCAAACTCGAGAAATACCGGGTGATATTGTTGGTATCGACATCTCACTTCACATGATCACGCCGAATTCTACCGAGCACAACAGCAGTGGCAAGCTACTCTGTCACTTATGTTGCCTGCAAATAAACAAGTCACGGTACGGCTGTTTAAAGCGTGAGCCAGGCTTTCACGTCGAATGTTTCGCTGCTCTTCATAATCAAGCTGTCCTCAGTAGCTCGCCTCAACTGCGAGGAGGGTTGGAGGCGAAATGCAGGACGTTAACAAATCAACCTGTCGCCTGTACATATAAGAAAAAGAATAGGGCAATCACACTAGTGGAGCAGCTAAGTCTCCCTGACAACTAATACATCCTCGCGCACGACAGCTATGCCTGACGCGTAGCCCCGAATCCTCGAGCGGCGAAGTATCTTCTTGGACCTACTGACTCAGAGAGAGTATTTCTGTCGTTATCTTCCTATCTGGGTTGCGCTATACACCACCCCCTGGGTGGAAATTGTTTTTCACCGACTTGGCCACCTCTGACATCATCGGGTTGGAGTGTTTTCACCCCTGTTTGTCTGGCTGGCTTTTGTTGGAAATCTCAATTTGTGCAAAAGACATCGGACACGTATCTAACCAAAATCGAAGGCTACTGAAAGGAGAATGTAGAGGAAACTGTTCCAGTGTCTTAGCGCTCGCGGGCAGCCTGTAAGAGCTATCTCGCGTGGGTATCGCGACAAAGAAAGCTAACGTCCTCGTCGTTTCTGGAGAAGGTTGGTAGTACCACTGCGCATAACATGATGACGCAGCTACGCGCACGAGTCAACGAGGTCCACACAGCTGATCGCTCCATTTGGCTTCTCAACTATGTGCTTATGAGAAAAGACTTCATTACGTGCCTCTGTCCTCATTAGCCGCATAGTTTGGTCTGTGCTCTTCTAGTGTCTTGTAATTCATGGCTATTTTCACTGGCGTCGCCAGTACTACTGTAGAGGACGAGGTTCAACACAATCCGCTGCATCATTTCCAAGCTATTCAGACCGCTCAGAAAAGGTTATTGTGACGAGCCCCGGATGCTCTATCGGATTGACGACGTGAGAAGAAATTATGTGTTCTCCTGCTCAAGTTTATTTTCTTAGTTTAGGTTTGGAAACCCACAATATCTAGCAATTGATTTCTACTTTTAAAAGCCTAAAAACTCACAAGGTGGACAGAAGCGTGCTCGAGTTTATCCCGCCTGACATAACGGGCGTGGTGCAACATATGGGCGTATCCGTCGTGCAAGCACTTAAAAAAACGATGCCGCGAGCTTTATGTGGCTCACCACATCGACAATGGTTTCTCTCCGGATCCCGCGGCCAGCCGCGATCTCATTACGCGTTGTTCAAGCTTGGATAAAGTACCCCCTTAAACAACTCAGAGGAGTTTATTCGAGCGGGTATTGTTCCGTTTGGGCCTCGAAAGAGCAATGGCCATTTTGGTGTAGCTAAACCTACTCCATAAACTTCATTTTCCTTCTTTTCAAATTTGTTGTTATTTTTGTTATTTGATTATTTACCAAAGCCCAGTTTGAAGAAGGTAGATGGAAGTCGGTCGGAAGAAGGGGGTGAAAACGGAAGAATTTCATTGTCTATTGAACGTTTACGTCTGTTTGCAAGAAATATAGATGTTTCAAGAAATATGTTAGATCCGGTAAGTTCCGCTGTACCGACATCAAGATACATAGAATAAAATGAATTCTGAGTCCGAATCTGATGTACTTCTATGCCTATTTGAAGTCCTTCCCCTTCATTCAGACTATTCAAGTGACCACTATTTATTGGAACGCTTTACTAGCTGGTTAGCAGATGTTAAAGGGGTGGATGATTTAATGTGAAAAATCCGGAGCTGGTGGAAACATAACAGATGGCTGAATTTGATCAATATCTGAAAGCACATGTTGTACTCGAAATGATGTTTCTTTTTCGGTGAGCAGGTTTCACGGGGATTAAGTATTATCTCCCGTGGACCGAAGTCATTCGCCGAGAAAGTAGCTCATTTCTCGAGTTGCAGCATTCTCACCAAGCCCTCATACAAGACACAGTCTATCTACGCGGATGTCGCGTCGAGCGTCATCTGCGTTAAGTACTTGAGATCCATCAACACAGATGCCGTGGTATGGTGCTCGTACCAACAACAAGTGCGTCAACATGTTGAAGATATAATAACTCGGGTGAGCGACGAGAGCAAGAATTAAGATTTTTCGGACAACCTCGCTCCACGACAATGACAAGTCGACAGACGCTCCATACTTCGATGATTTTCGCGACGTTGGAGGTTCATCAGGCATTACGAGATGACGATTTTAACGTTGCAAAAATTCAATGAGCTTGGGTTGTCGGTACGCTCTCAAACAATAACGTTGGGAGAAATGACGATCCAACATCAGCGGGAACGATGTCTTCTTCATATCGCTTGTCACGTTGCATGCCGGCGGAACGTAGAAATAATCTTTGTAACAACTTCGGACTTCTCACGTCTACGTTTACCGGTACTGTTACGAAGTTCATCCGCCCTTTTTCACGTTTCACACTAAGGGATACTCCGTCCCAACCACTGCCACATATCGATCACTTCTAACACTCTGTTGTAGCACTGCACAGCGCGAGCTTGTGCAGGAGCACGAAATCTAGGAAATATGGACCTCATAGCAGGCTTCCCGACGCCCCGCGATATCTCCCGTTTGACTTTCAGCTTTTGTGCAATGTTGCGCAAGGGAGGGGGGCAACCCCCGATGTGGCATATCGGAGATACACCATCTCGCTGCTGATTGAAAGGTACCACTCCAGCAAAATGTCTAAACGTCAAAAAGCCTTAACCACTACCACAACCATGGTGCAAGCGATGCCTACTGCCTGCATACCAGCATATTAGCTTATGCAAATGCTGCGAAATCATTGCTAAGCTAAAACAAAATACATGACTTACGTTTGTTAAGATGCCAGATCAATTCGCTCATATCGCAACCGTTCCAACTTCCCAAAACGTTCCGACAGTTGGGATGTCTGGAAAAAGATTGCCCAGTATCGGTAGATACGAATCCACCACAGATGGGTTAGGTGTAGGGAGACGAGGTTTAAAGTTCTGAGATTTTACGTTTCTAGTCAGCTTTTATGAGGAGCTCGTGGTGACCACCGTTTGAGTCCTAAAGGCCTGTAGGCCGAGAAAATCGACTTTTCGATTGAAGTGAATAATGAGCTCAGAGCAGTGCACACCTCCAGAGGGAAATTCATGAATGAGGCCCTGATCCAGGTGAGGGGTCCACTATTTGGAGCTTTTAGTTTCTGAAAAACGACCTGTACCAGCCACAATAGCGACATCTCAGTCCAGAGCCAGTCGTCTTTAAACTCAGTGAGATTTTAGCTCCAGCCAATAAGAGACAGCCGTGAGTTTAACGGTCGACCAAGGAAGCCACGCGACCTCAGTCTTCTTTTTTGTTTAAGCCAAATCCAGCAGACCTCACGACCAACCCCCCCCCCCTCCACCACCATCCTACCCATTCTGGCGGCGTAGCTCAATGGCTGAGTGGAGGTCATAATGTACTGAGGAGCGGGGCCAATACCCGTCGTCGTCACTAAATTCGGAGGGAGGACATCAATATTAGAGTTGGCGTTAATGCAGCGGCTTTCAAGTGTGAGGCAGTTTGGCATGGAGTGCATTGGTATACGCGCGTGAGTGTGTTGTAAGCATGGAAGAGTATTTTGGAGTGTGTTAGATGCGGTCTCTGTGCGTGTTGATGCTAGGTAGTGTAGTATAGTACTACAGAGGAGCTTGGACTTGGATACCAATTGAGGTATTCTAACTGTGTAATACATGCATTCCAAATACGAACGGCACTTCTAACCTGGTGATGTTAATGTGCTAGATGCATTATAATGTCCTTTCGCATCATGCTGGGGCTACGTCGTGCAGACCTTGAAGCTGTGCATTGCCTTGTAGACAATGCGTACACTGTGCGTTTCATAAAATAGAGCACAAATATGCCGCAATCATCCGATTTCTTCTGCGTCGGTCTTGTATGAATGCCTCTCACGACATAATCAGGCATGGCTTTGTCTGGAAACTTCTTTTGAAGCTTTTCGTAAAAATATCCGCTCAATACTTTCTTGACTGCTTCAATCTTGGTAATTCCCAAAACGTCCACATGTACAATACACCTCCTTAGATTTTCTGTTGTAAGGCATAATTGCAAAGGTTTAGTGCAGTTCCATACATATAGGGACAACCACGCGGTCGTATTTTTTCTTACGGCAAAAGTTGCACTAGCTCCACAACAGTTTCTGTGGGCGACGTTAACGTTGCGTTTAGCCAGCTTGAACTCATTGTCAATGTAGCCAAAAATGGTTGAGTCCATGACGAACGTTCTTCCACACGACAGAAGAAGTGTTCGTATGCACTATGTCATGACTGTATTATTTAGCCAGTTATCGCCTTGAACTGTCGCGATATCGGTGTGTTTTATGATCACTCCGGTGCTCGGTTTTCCAATAACGTAGCATGGCATGTGTGTTTCCTGCTCGGTATCAGACGGAGATATATCTCATTCTTCTCCGAAGTCGTACCCAATACCCCCATTATCACATTCATCATTATCCAGAGAAATAATCTCGGGTAAATTGCTCTTTTTTTTCGGCCAAACTCGCCACCGCCTCCTTGGTTTTTTTTTTTTTAGCCAAACTGGACATCGGCGACGCGGGCTGCTCTCTTTCCCTCTTTTTCGTGTTGGAGAAAAACGAAATGAGGCTATTTAGTTCGTGGCGCTTGATGAATCTGGTCGCCCGTGAGCTTTTCGCCGCGGGATCACGCTCAGAAAACCCCGAAATAGTCACAGCAGCATCGGCAATAACGTCGCTCCGGTAGACTTCCTCGCCGTCTGTCACTTTCTGCTTGATACGCTCAACAATAAAAAAAAATCGTATGGAAGTGTTGGCGCGGCCACACCAGGGGTTTAATGCGCTTTAACCCACCAACGACCAAATCAATTTTCGCACTTTACAGAAAAATCAATCATGTTGTAGGATACAACATGTTAATGCCGGAATATACTTAAAGTTTGTATGATCTCAGATAAGTACGAGTACTTTTTCTGAAAAACGCGACATGCCAACTTCACCGTAACTCCGACATACAACGTCGCCTGCGGCTTAATATAGTATCCTACAACGTGTGGAACATAAAGTAGACATCATGCTACTGTTGCTGCTGACCTTTTTATCAAGAAAAAAGCCACGACCTCTTCCATGTAATCAAGCGGCAAGCAATCGTTGTGAACGCAACAAAACCTACTAAAATAACGACAGTCTACTGGCTAAACACATTGTATTGTGTTAGACTACTTTCCCGCATCAAAAGGTGACAACTCTGCTTCACCGATGCCCTCGTCACATCACTCTTTATTCTCCTCTTCATTATTGTCCTCGCCCTCAGCACTGCCCTCGCCTTCCGCGTCGTCTTCACCCTCAGCTGTGTCTTCCTCGTCAGCGGCCTCACCCCCTGCTCGTCTGCGCCGTTTTCGTTTTCCGAGTCCTGCACCAGCCTCGCGGTTCTGGATATCACGGCCGCACCGCGGACGAGGTCGCTCAGCACCATTCTTCCATTGGTGGTGCCATATTTGGTGGCAAGTAAGCGTATTGTTCTTCCAATGGGGCCACACCTTATTACACAAGTACGTTCTGAATAGTGAATCACGTTGTTAGTAAAATGCCAATACTGTCGTTCAAAGTATCATACCTTGTTTTCTCAGATGGACTGCAGCCAGGGCAATAGTACTTGGTTGCGCGGCGCTCACCGATACTGCGCTTACGGTTGGAGCATACCTTGCACTGCCGTTGTCTGCGTTTGCGCTGCCCGTTGATCTCTTGGTAGTCTGGATTTTCGCGCGGCACATGATCTGCTGGAAGTGCACTAAGAATCTCACCTGACCCTCCCACTTGTGGCTGGCGCTGTATACACACAAGTAAACATGTTGTAGGTGAACACGTTGTATACATGTCGTATAAGAACATGTTGTATCCATCGTACCTCAGCAAAGTCTTCTTCAGTGAGATCAAGCATCTGCGCTTGAAGTTGCGTCAGGAACTCGGCATGCGTAAGTGACTTACCATTGCGACTCTTCTGTGCCTCGCGGTAGACTATGTACGCGTTCACGATCGCTACGTCCACCAATCCCAAGAATATAGCCTTGTCATACTTCTTGCACTTCGTCTGTTGCTGAAGCGAGTAGCGCTGAAGCCGCAGCTGGTCATGTACGTCGACCACGCCCATCCAGCGATGATAATCTCGCATCATTGAAGGGCAAGGGATCTCAGAGCGCACACCACCTGACTTCCAACGGTCTGAATAGACAGCACAAATATTAGCATGATCTCTATGACAGATAAAACTAGCAGTACTTACAGCAGCTCTCCATTGCACGACTCCCTCCAGTTCCAAGAAGCAGAACTGGCCGGCGGTCCCACCACACTAGGCTAGTCATCAGCGGACAATTTTTGGCCACGGCCATGCGGGTAGTTCCATGGTCAATCTTTTTCGGACGTTTACCACTCTTCACTGCGATGTCTTGACAGAAGCCCTGACGGTCGTCTTGAATTGTACCCACGCAGTAAACTTGCCTTTTCAACAACTGGTAGGCTAGCTGCACCGACGTATAGAATCGATCCATCGCATCGAGATAGAATACACCGTCTTTTTGAGGGGGAAGCACCGCTTCCAAATTCCTCATCACTGCTGCAGGCCCTGTATTTAGGTCGACGGACTGCACAGATGGAGGTATGTTTCCAATCTCGTCAATGTGCTGCTCGGCACCACAATAGATCTCGAGCCTATTCCAGATACAACAACATAACATGTTGCCGGATACAGCATATTAGTATACAACATGTTGACATGGACCAAAAACAAGGGCTCAGCAAGCCTATAAGATCACCTGCTTACCTCAAGCAATAGGACGACTTCGCGCAGCACGTCATGAACTTCTTCGTGCCCCAACGGTGAGGTTTGTTGGCAACAAACTGGCGTGTAGGATTGTGGCGGTTTGGCAGCGGAATCATGGCTTCATCAAACGAAAGAACCGGAGGTGTTGTGTAACCATTTCCAAAACTCGTTTGAAGGGTATCCACAACGGAGCGCACCTTCCACGCTCTATCCGTTCCTGCACGAGCGTCGCCATTGTTTGTGAAGTGTAGATTGGACAGGATGTAGGTGAAGCGATTACGCCTCATGAACTTCCCAAAAGTACCAGCGGCCACCGCACCAATCGACGTTGTAGACCAGTGATCGTAGAAGTGTCGCCGCTGGGGGTTGGTCATGCGGGCAATGAGAAGCCCCAACAGTACCACGATTTCATGAGCTTTGATGTCTGCATGTTTCGCCTCACGCTCCATGAAATCCTCTTTCGTCTTTTTTCCAGGCACCTTTTGTTTTGCGTACATTTTGTCCACTCGAGCCACCAGATTTTGTTCATGATAAACAGTAGACTCTTCAGCTATTTTCTTCCACAATTCCCTCGGCATAAAATAGAGAAACAGGTCCAACGGGGAGTCAGCAAAACGTATCACTTCTGGAGAAGGGCCGGACGGTCCGTAGTATAATCCAGGGTAACTTTGGTCGGACGGAAACTTTTGCGGATCTGAAATACAACACACAGCATCGTAGCATTAGTACGTATCACTCATAATGCATAGATAGCAAACGTACCCAGTTCCCAGCAGTCCTTCGCATTCTAGCTAAGGAGGGTTTGTCTTTTGCAAAGTCCAGATATTCCTCAGAGTCCAGCACTGGCCAGTCACAAACTACGTCATCGTCGTCACTTCCAGTTCACCTCCCACCGCAACCACCTCCTCTTCCTCCGCTGCGCTATCCATCGTCTCTGCAATGTCCGGTATCTCAGCAGGGACTTGTGGGTCGACGGGTACATCTTCTTCATCCACAAAAACCAACTCCTCATCTTCATCTTCACAATCGGAATCTAAAGCACCTAAATTCAATCCAGAACTGCATACAACATTAGTAAGATGTTGTATCTGATAGCATAAGACATGTTGTACGTACTCTGATGATTCAGCAGGTTGAGGCAATGGAGGGCCATCATGCGCTGTAGACGGCGCACTCCGTGGTAGCGGGTCTGCTATTCTTGCCGTTGGCTGTGGTCTGCTAGTCTCGCCGTGGGTGGTGGTACGTAGTAAAAGACTTGCAGGTGTAGCCAGGTCGGAGTTCGTCCCCGAAGTAGCTGGTGTGACAGCACGCTCAGCTCGGCGGCTATCCGAGCTCGAACTGCAATATAAAACATAATAATAACTTGTGAGTCCCCACAGAGCAGAAACATGTTGTAGGTAAACATGTTGTACATACCATTCCTCACTGTCATTCGTTGCTCTGTGTGGTGATCCCCAGCGTTTTGGTGAGTTCGATCCCATTGCCGTTGCTGTCTTTCGCCTCTTGTTCTTCCCTTCCAAGCGCTTACGAGCTGCAGACTTTGCTTCCTTCCCAGCACGTTGCTGCTCTGTGGCTTTGTCTTGCGCCGCTTTTACCTTGGCCGCCTTTGCAGCAGCAACTGCGGCTTCTCTTACTTCTTTTGCTAGCGTACGTGCGCTCTTCTTCCTCGGTTTCTTCGCAGCTGCTGTGGCCTTACTTGCCTCCTTCGTTGCGACTGTGGATTTCTTTCGCGAAGCTTTCGAAGTCTTTGCCTGGCCTAAACAAAAGGAAGCATTAGCACAGTGAGCCACCACAGTTCAAAAACATGTTGTATGTCATCATGTTGTACCTCGTGTAGCATCATTTCCGCTTTCGGCCTCGGACCCTTTTTGTAACTCAGCATAGAAGCCAGCGCTGCCGTAGCCCTCGTCTTCGCATTCATCATCGTCTCCTTCTTCGTCGTCTTCGTAGTCTTCATCATCGTCTGACGGCTCATCCACTAGTTTCTTCCTCGGGCCAAGTCGCTTCTTGCCAGACCCAGCCACTGTCTTTGCGGCTACTGCACGACGGGTCATCAATGCAGAGTGCATGTTGGCACGCATATACGATGCGTCTTTTCCAGTTGGTGGGACCCAAGCGCGTGGTTGTCTGCCCTGCTGTGAAGTCTGTTTGCGCGCAGACGAGAAGTCAGCGTCCGTCGGGCGCTGGCCGTTCAGATACTGCTGGTGCTCCTTCAAAATTCGCAAGCGGTCGCCATCGTGCACTCGACTAAGTTGCTCCAGGAATGCTTGTTTCTCAGCTCGCGTTTCATGGCGCGACGTCATTCCAACTTCCCTCTCGCTCCGCAAATTCTTGACTGAAAGTGTGTTCTTCTCCGCCACTCAAATTTATCCTCATAGACAGGGCATTGATGAGTGGATTCCGTCGCCCGTTTTATTCAGATACATTCTCTTTTTTGAACAAATTGAACCTAACCCTGTGCATCGAACTTTTTATGAGGGATGTGCTTATACTTGGTTTTACTATATGTTCGCTATTTTTCGAGCCAATCCCTATACAAACATGTTGTACGTACAACATGAATTCATGTTTTATACAACCTTGGTCATTGGTGGGTTAACGATGGGTCGGCCGCAGACGAGAAAAAGTGTTCTTTGGTCGACATCCAGCCGAGCAAGATTGTGCGCTGTATACCAAGCTGTCGGGACCCTTCCGTGGCGTCCCAGTCTTCTTCCTCACATTTTAGCAGAACCTCAATCTTCAGTGCGTTGGTATGCTGTGTAGAGTCCGCCATCTCGTCCAATTTTGAAATGGCGTATTTCGGGCAAACTCAACAGAAGGCGAAGCTTAATTGGCTAAACTGTATCATTAGCTATCAACAAATCTGTGGCCTCAAATTTTGCCACCCCTTCATTCTGCATTTGGAAGGCCGCCGAATAAACCGGGCCCCTGCGTAAAAAATATTCAGTATCCTCGACCTTTCAGCTATTCTTTGCTTCTTTAAATTTCGGCTATATTCGACGGAAGGGTGTTTCGGGTATATTCGACTGTTAGTATTTGGGATATACTCGACTGTCAGCTGTTTCGGGTATACTCAACTTTGAGGTATTTCGGCTATATTCCACAGTCGGAGCTTTCGCGTTTACTATACATCCGGTATTCACGGTTGTCCAGCTAAAGCTAACATGTCCTGGGTTTCTGCAGGAGCTGGGTCTTGAATCCGTCCAATTGCGAGAAGTTGTTTATAGGCAGCGATTCGTTTGTCGACCCCCCCCCATTTATGTAGAGGTCGCAGCTCACGCAAGACACTACCGGCACCCTTGGCCTTAATATCTTTCGACTTTAAGTACTCAAGTGTGGCATTTTCAGCACGGCGACCGGCGTCAAGGACCTGATCCTTATAATCATCCGCCTTGGCATCGAGCACAAAGCCTTCGTCGAGAGAGATCTTCATGTAGGCAACGACATGGCGAGACTCGGACTTCTTGTGGCAATCACTCGAGCCCCACCCGCGCGGTACCCGTGCGTACCATTCGTGCCGCGCGGCGAAAGGTTGGTTACTTGCTTTTTCTACGCTTTGGGTTTGGGCTCTTGATCTGGTGTGATTTGTACTTGCTCATCTTCAGTAAGTTCTTGGTAGGTTTAAATAGCGCAGATTCGACGATAGTCAACCGCGCAGCAAGTGCCTTGTTCGACGGGATGAGCTGTTGAATGACAGAGAGAAGATGATCCATTGCTAGACAAGAGTGCTGCTTCTCTTCTTTCTCTTGAGCGGGTTGCACCGCTTCTTGGTTCAGAGCCACCGACCATGCGACCATGTCAGCAAGCGGAATATCAGCCGCACTTAAACTATCTTCAATGCGCGTGATGATTGGGGCCATTGGCGCTAGATCCTTCATCTGCGGATAGTAACGGATGAGGTATGCAGTGAGGACGCTGAGGACCTTGGTGCTTACCTTGAGCCGTCGTTGCTTTAGACCAGTACAGACACTGAACAGAAACACCTGCAGAAGCCCAAGCCGCTCCCGACTTGCATGATCCATCGCCGCGATATCAAGAATCGTGGGCGATTCGTCTGTCCCCCCCCCCATCCACTCAAGACACGAGCAACCTTCCTGTCTTCGCGTGCCGTATGGTTATGTAAGCGAAAGCTTTGCTGGTCTTCGTCATATCCCACACACCGCGGTCGAAGATCCACTGAGGAGCTAGTCGGTCGTCGCCGTTTGCATGCTGGGTTCCTCCGCGTCTAAAAGAATGCGACGTCAATGCAGAGCTAGCGCCAGCAGGTTCAGCTACATGCTTGAGCATCCGGTTCAAGGACTGTACGCCATCTTTTCCGCGCTTGGTACGTGCCTTGATCTTTGTTGGTTCTTGGCTGTCTGCGTTTGTAGATGACGGTACGGTCTCGGTAGCGTGGCAGGGTGCGACACACGATGCAGAAGTGGTCTTCACTACAATGACTGGGATCCTCGTTGGCACCACGCCAACTTGGAGGGACGTTGGATCAGCGGCGAGAGCATCGTGCAGTGGGGCACCTTCGTCGAGGTTTATAGTCTCTCTGGTAATCATCTCGGGCAACTGATCGAGCAGTGCCACGCACGGGGCGTCTTGCGTTGCCAACGCCACAGCAAGAGTGTGCAAGGAACACGTAAAGAAATCGTTCTTGTCCGGAATCAAGGTGAGTCCCTGCTCTTCGGAGGTTTTGACACATAGAAGGTACCATCCGCAGATACTGACACGTGTTGTTTTTGAATGTATCCCAAGTCGGAAGATCTGCCACATCGGGCACGCTAGCGCAGCGTCTTGGTAGTCACCATGCACACGTGCCGTGCTGTATACATAACGGATTAGAGACTGTAAATCCACCTTAGTACAAGGAGGAGCCTTACTAATCAAGCCACCTTTTTCTCTTTTCACGCAATGTTTGTCTAGCGTTTTGCCTTGCTTGAGCAGTATCAATTTAGTAGGCACACGTAAGTGTGGGTACTTATCAAATAGCCACAGCTTCACATTTCTATGGTATGAAGTCGCCGTATTACGTGCAACCTCACCTTTCTTACCGTTCGTGGCGAGATTGAAGCCGAAGCAATCCATCGTCGCAGCTAACCGTTTTGCCGGAGGAGGCGGATGCTAGCGTGGACAAAGTCCATGCTAACATCCTCCTCCTCCGGCATCCGCTTGAATGCGGCAATCATAGTGGTGCGCGCCTTCTTCGTGTTAGTAGGCACGAAAGCGGCTAGACTCATCAGATCCCTCTGCCTTTCTTAGCTGCTTGAACGACTATTGGAAAGGCATATACATATTTCGTCGCTGGTTCCGACAAATATTTGTCGGAATGTGCCGAAACCTTAAATCCTACCTAATAAATATAATTGGTCAAAACAGATACCTCCAGGTATATCATTAATAATATTCCACATAACATAACTATCAAACAATCTTTTGTCGGAAAGACGTGTATATTCATCCATATCCGCATTTATGTGTTTTTAATTTCCCTCCATTATGTTTTGCTCTGAGCCAGTTAAACTTTTCTTTAAAAATATTCACGTAGCCAAAGGTTCTAAAATGTTTTAAAACATGTTTAAAATCATGTAGCCAAGTGGACAAAAGAAAAGCCTGCGGGACGATCCGAGACAATGGATGAGCTCTCTGTGGCGTCCGCCGCCTTCTTTCGTCTCGAGTGCAGTCACGATGAGCTCTTCCAGCCCGAATACAAGCGGTAGGGCCACTCCATATCCCTTAGTATGCGCTTAAAATGAGCAACTTATAGCGCACCCGGTCTGACTGGTGTATTGTGTCTGCTCGACACAGGAGCAACCGCACCAAAGGTCTCAAGATCCTGCGGTACGGAATTTGCTGGTCCTGACAATTGAGGCTCTAAAGCTCATCCGATTTGCCCTTTGTTGACCATGTTAGCTGCTTTCCACACTGCTGCCCAGCCCACATCGATCGCAGCTATTGCGGCTCATCACTGAGTGTCCGTGTGGAGCTGGAGACTCCAAAACAAAATGCCGAAGTCACGACTTCGTCTCTTAGTGAGTCTGTAGTCCTATTTGCTCGCTTCGAGGCTCTCAATGATGTAAGTCTCAAGCCAGGAGAATATGTCGAAGTGGACAGGATGGAGACGGCCACCCAGTCAGAGCGCAACCCAGATGCCCAGTGGATACCTGGTGTACTGGACAGTCCGTCTAAAATGATCACTCCTATCCATACACCGGGTACGCCCAAGGAAGAGCAGAAATCTATGGTATACCATCTGAACACGAAGACAAACATTCGCTGGTATTACGACTGGGAGAGTGGCGCCAACAAGGCGCAGCGACTCATGAAACATGTGTTGAAGGCCTACATTGCAGAGCGATTCGCTCAAGACAAGAACGACAAGATCGTAGCTTTCAACAGCCCCCAAGCGCACAAACAACTCTATCGTATAATGCACGTCGTGACGTCGCCCGAGTTCACAGTCATTTCGTACCGTCGAGCAGCACCCGAGAACCAAGCAACGCTGCTGTCTTCACATGATACCCCTCCGTATTTGATGCAAGAGAATGTTCTGCCAGAGAACACAAACGTTGGTCTAAGGTTTCCCAAAGGTACCGATGAGAGTGGTCACTCTCACTCACCTACGAAAAGACCACATCTACACCCTCCGATGGAGGCACCAGTGTACCGTGAAGAGTACAAGTTGAAGCGCCAGCAAACGTCAACATCCAATTCTTTTCCGGCTTTCGATCTACT